GACTCCAGAGGTGCAGGGGTCACCAGATTTTCTGCGGTCAAAAGCTTCTTGTCCACAGGCACACAAAAGAGTTGCTGCCTTCAGGCCATCTTCTCTAATCTGATTTACTCAGAAGTAATTCTCCACCCGTGCTACGTAGGAATTCCATCTCTGTGGGTGGGAGACATCGAAATCAGTCAAGAGGCCAATCTTCGACATCGTAAACTTTACAACCTTCACCACTCACTTCCTCTACAAGCTGCTGTTTGGGGAAAGGGTCCTTTAGCCGGCTCAACCTCCAGCGACGCTGTACTGGCAGGCTGGGACGCTGATTGAGACGCCGTCTTCCCCTCTTCAGGACTTCCTGGGTAAGTCCTTAAATCTTTTGTTTCAGCTTGCAAAGGATCCCACCTTCGTCGCCAGTGTTGTGTACTCCGTTCACGTGCGAATGATGAAGACACATGGCAATGCTGAACAAATACTTTATTCACCTTCTACAACAACCAAGCAAAAGCAAAAGGCACGCAGGCCTTTTTATATGGCCAGAAACCTGGACAGTGTCAACCAATAGGAACAGAGCATTTTCGTGCCTTGTGCATGCGCACAAAGCTGGTGCCACTCTGTTTGGTCCCCGGTCAGCTTTTGGAATGCCCGGGACCAATGCAACATCCTGAGCCTGCTTTTGCAGGCTCAAGACACAACACTTATCATCCTTCAAATTTTGTTCAACATCAGTTCTCCCTAATTTTAATCTATAGCAAACCCTGTCATTGTCTTTCAAATTCTGTGCTCCTCAATTTACGCTCTCTTACTAACTTGTTTTGAAATAACTGGGCAGTTGATAGAACACTAACTCTGTGTAAGCACAAAAGTGCAGAAAAAAAATATAGAATGTTAATCATGAGGATTAGCACCTAATTTTTTATAAACATGAATATGAAATTCTGTATTTTTATTAGGTAAAACAAATTAATAACATCAAATGGCTCCTTGCAGTCTATAGCTAGGAACAGTGATTTTTTAAAATTTCTATTGATCTAAAAATGAAGAGTTATAGCACCTTCCAAGTACACTTAAAATTGTATGTATCATCTGCTAGTCATCAAACTGAATCTAGTAGATAATTTACTAGAGCTACAGAAATCCATTTTCTTATTTTTTTTTTTTTGTACAGGTATATTTATTCAACTTAGGCTCTGGAAATTTGCTATGCGTATGTAGTGCCAAAATTTTCCCTTTTTTTCAAAAGATAAAGCAGCTGCTGAGCGGGATTTAAACTCTGGCTGCCGAATGTTATTGTCCAGATCAAACATTGTTTCTAAAGAGTGAGAAGGTTGGTTCTTTAATCCAGTTATTTACCATTGTTTCACTGGGAGTTGGGAGACATAACACTATTATTATTCCTCCATTCTATGCACTCTGAAGACTATTCAGAGCAAAACAAAAGGTAGCAGCAATTCATTATTTCAGAATCTCCTTTAATGTAAGCCACCAGCTATGTTTGAGTTTGCAATCTACCCAGTTAAAATAATTGTTTAAGCAGACCATGGATAGTGAATCTGCAGATCCCACCCAATCACTAGTTATAATCCCTGCTGTTTTCTCATGAAGTGTTGATGTATTTATATAGCATAGGCTTATGGATAAGCATGCTAACAAATACAATTGTAATCACATAATGTACTGTGTGTTTCAAATAAGCCATTCTATTACTTAACTTAATAGATGGTTCTTGTAATATGCTAAATCATGGTTGTATATTCCATAGGATGTTAAGCCACAATTGCCCACCCAATTCCTGCAAATCTAGAACGAATGTGCAAATCCCGTTTGTATGTAGGCTGTATATTTCTCCTCCTGAGAAACTCTCAAAAGATATAAAATGATAAGTAGCAATGGCAAAAATACAACTACTACTAATAACATACTTTAAAATGCAAAAATCCCATTTTTTTATTTGAGTCTTTAAGGTCTACAACAGAGAATATATTAATTAAAGCTGAAAGATATTGAACAATATGGAAACCAATGCTTTCCATAGAGATCCTATAGTGTATACACCTGGATTTAGTAATCATCATATCCAAGATATTTACTACACATATACACACACACACAAAATGGTAGAAACAGCTGTGGCTTCTATTAAAATCTTTTAATAGCATGTCTATGTGTACAAACACAAGCTCACTTAAGGCCATTCAAATCAGGCTTAACCTTGCTTAATATATTGAGCTGGGTTGCATATTCTTCTTCCTGAATTAGGTTGCTATGAACACTTGAAAGCACCTGAATGAATAAGCACCTAAAATAGTACTATTTCAAAAATGCTGTCAGCAGCTCTTCACTAGTATCACAGATATTTAAAAACATACTTAGCAAAATATGCAGTTATATGGATACCTGACAAAACTGCAGTTATATGGATACCTGACAAGTAGACACTTATTTAAAGAATAATCTCAAAAGAGGTAGAAACTACTAAAAAGATGAACTGCATCAGAATAAGAATTTTAAATGTCATTTTTTTTTACTTTTCCTATGTGTGTGTATGTGTATATATGTATATATGTATGTATGTATATATGAATGTATGTATATATGTATGTATGTATGTATGTATGTATGTATATGTGTGTGTGTGTGTGTGTGTGTGTGTGTGTGTGTGTGTGTGTGTGTGTGTTGTCTCTAATTATACTAAAAATGTGACTCCCGGGTATATTCATGTTGAGAAAAGTAGTTGAACACCGGGATCAATATAAAAACAACTGTTTAATAAACTAACAACTGTTCGATAAACTTAGCTTTCATCGGCTAACTGCCGATGTCATCAGAGCCTTGCAGAATGCAACACACAGGCACCTCTATGACATGGACAACTCTACCATACGTCAATGGGGTGTCAGAGGCGACGGCACAGATATTGGCTCCATACAACATTAGTTTTGCCCATAAACCAAATCAAACTCTTCGTGCCAAAATAATGCGTCCCAAAGAACTACTCCCCAATGAAGAAAGATCTTCAGTGATATATAGAGTGAAATGTAAGGACTGTCACTGCAATTACAGTGGGGAGACGACCAAACGGCTTGGAACTAGGATCCATGAACACAAGCTGGCCATTAGATGACATAAGCAACGCTCACAGGTGTGGGTCCATATGGCCAGCAACAATCACACGTTCGACCTTGCCAGGGCGGAGGCCATCGCCCAAGATGTCACCAAGGGTGGCCAGTTACTGAAGAAGGCTTGGCTGTCGGATGAACATTCAATTAATCGCCACATAGAGTTACTGCCTGCTTATCAGGCACTAAAGAAGTGGGAACAACAACGTAACAACTCACAACGAGTGCAACAGGTGCAGCCTACGCAAGACCAGAACCGCTGTCTCATGCAACAGCAAATAAATATGACACTCACAACAAGGGGTGGCCACAAGACAGGAGGCACTGGGAGATCATCCTATAGCAAAGTGTACCCAGATGCGTCCAAGCGGGCAAAGAGAGCGACATCGGCAGTTAGCTGATGAAAGCTAAGTTTATCAAACAGTTTATTAAACAGTTGTTTTTATATTTATCCCGGTGTTCGACTACTTTTCTCAACATATAATAATGTGTATGATAACATTAATTATCAATCTGAATCCACACATTTTTAAATTTCTAAATTCCATTTCAGCTGGATTTAAGATCTGCCTTTAGTCTGATTTCTAAATGTTTTAGTATAGAACAAACTAAAATATTAACAATTATATTTTATATTTAAATTCCTTGTGGTGTATACTAAGATGCTCATTAAATTGTCTTATCCTCCTATTGTATTTCAGTTATGATTAATCATTTTCAAAACTTTCCTATTATAATACATAGCAAGTAACAGCAGAGATCAGGCCTTTACAACCTGTGATCTTTTGACTGAGGCATCAACTAGGTTTTCTTTTGTAGGATAATTAAAGATAAGAAACCAAAAAGGGTTGTTTAGGGAATCACAGTATAAATAATTATGTAATAAATAGGAAGCTCATTCAGAATTTGAAGAAGTACATATTCAAACACACCCAGATATATCTATATGTAAGTATACACACACACTTCTTATAATTATTTTAAACACTTCTTATAATTTTTTCCCATGATTAACCATTGTACAATGGATGTTTAAAATCCTTTCCTTCAAGGACAATATTTCTGTTTTTTAGAGTACTAATTGGCAAGAAGGTTTACAAACCAGCACAGTTAATAAACAGTTTATTATAATTATCTGAAACAACCGGAGAGCCATAGGTTGTTTATCCCATCCCAGAGGATTCAATCATAGCAGCTATTTCTGAACGTAACTATATATGTGCTAAAGAAAAGGAATAGAAACTGAGAGCTCAACATTTCCCATATTTAAATTACTATTCTTACTTTTTAAAGGTATCTTCAAGTGGATTTGTTTTTCTCTTTATGCATTTTCGGAAGCTCAGCACTAAAATGATAGGATTGTCTTAAATTCACTAAAAATAATAAGAGTTTCTTTGTTAATGATGTGTATGATTTGTATTTAAAATACTTGAATGGTACTTAACAAGAAAAAAATGTTTGGCTTAAGGTGAGGATGAAAGCTGATACATGACACATTATTTTTTTCCTTCAAAGATCATTGCCCATAAAACCATAGAGAACATATGCCTTATGTGGTGGCGCAGCAGTTAGAGTGCAGTACTGCAGGCCACTTTAGCTGACTGTGTTCAGCAGGTCAGCGGTTCAAATCTCACCGGCTCAAGGTTGACTCAGCCTTCCATCCTTCCGGTAGGTAAAATGAGGACCCAGATTGTTGGGGGCAATGTAAATATATATATACATTGCTTACTGGTGTACACCGCTTAGAGAGTGCTTGCACTTAAAGCGGTATATAAGTCTCATAAATAAATAAATAAATAAATAAATGTAGTCTAGATTGCTTTCAACAGCAATTTCAAATGTATCTTTTTCATTGGACATAAACAGGAATGAGCTTTCTCAGGACCATTCTTTAACTGCCATATAACAAGACAAATTTATTTATGTATAAAATTTAGAGAAATGTACATGATTGAAGATTCCCAATCTGTTTTGTCAATAAGAACATTTCAAATTTTGACAATGTATCATGACTGTAATAGCTGTGGTGAGGAAACACTTGTAGTCATAAAAATGACTCTCATTGAAAGAGAGCGGCATGGAGGGAGATGTCTACAAGGAAATTATTAATTTTTACACATGGAACTCCAAGTTTAGGCCATGAACAATGTTCTCAAACTCAGTTGTCTGTTTCCACCTCAGACTTCTCTCTCAGTGGTTCTCAACCCTTTATTCACCGTGGATCCCCTTTAAATATCTTTTGTGGCCACAGACCATGGCCATGGACCCCCAAAACTTAAGATCTAAATCACAGCATTTCTTCAAGCCTTCATGGACCCCGTGATGACATCATGCTCCCTCAGGGGTCTGCAGACCAAGGTTGAGAACCTCTGTTCTATGTTATTTTTAAAAGACCAAACACTTTAGGAAGCTGTTTATAGATTTCTCCTGAATTATCACTAACTTTGAGTCTAATTATGGTAGTTTTCCTGTAAAAATAAGTTGTTTTCTATATTGTTACAGTGCTTATTTTTGAAACATACACAATTTAGCCTAATTTGAAAGGCACTTGATATAGTAAAATTCCTCTTGAGGTGGTCTTTGGAAAATTGGCTATACATCCATGCATACATACACACAAAGTGATAATCAAGACAGAATTCACAACCAGTGTGTATTCTACATTCTGCCTCTCTATGAATGTGTGTAGCAAAACGTTCTGCATCCTTCAATCTTAATTTCATATATTTCTGGACTCCAGCTGTTGTGTTCTATTAAGATAAAGCTAAAACCAAATTTATTTGTATTTTATATTCTGAATTTGAATTTCTCAATTTGTTAGTGACATATATGTTTTACCTAAAAGGTGTAGTTTTCCATGTGTCATAGATATCCTGAAAGCAAGGGATTGGTTCTAGAGAAGAAAATTAACTCATAATAATAAGGCATCTGACTTGAATATCACACTTTACTACCATCTAGGATTAGATTATATTGTTTGCTATACCAAAATTTGTGATCTTCTGAAAATTAACTCTTGTATGACAATAGCTTTTTTAGTCTATGAAAACAAAAATTCAGAAGCAACTTGGTAACCCCTTTTCTAGTTAAGAAATTTTAATAAAAAACAAAAGCTTTTAGAAAATTTCCACCAAACTCCATGTTTTTTTCTAATTGGATCTTACAAACTTGTTATGTAATTATAAACTTCAAAATATTATTTAAATGTTATACTAATTAAAGCAAATGTGAATAGTGGTTTTCTGCCTTTACTGACGCATTATAAAAGCATAGTATAATATGAAAAAATACAATCTATTTAACTGCTGTGTTGTAATTCTAATAGCACTGTTTTTGAGCCAAACTGAACAAAAGTAGTGGGCCATGTAAATTTTTGTGCTCATGAGCTTAATAATATAATGGTTATATTATAAAGAAAGACTTTGTTCAAACAAATAAACCTTGAAAACTAGAAGATATCAGATTGGCTATGTGACCATTTAATAATAAATAGTGTTAGGTAATAGTGAAACAAAATATTCAGTGGAAAAACTTTAGCATAACAACTCAAATGCCAAAGGAAAGCAAAAATGATATTCATCAGTAAATGCATCATATCTACCTCAATGTTTTAGTGAATGCAACTTAAAAAAAAACACTGAAAAAATCATTTTCAAGATGACACTAAAGCCGGTAAGTATGAATTGCTGTCCTTCTTGATCTTAAATGCTTACTTCAATTTGTTATTTTAAATGCATTGTATTGTATGGTCATATGCATATGTATTTCAGTAACCCTCACAACAGAATACTTTGCGCAGAAGACATTTTAATCCAGGAGAGGCTTTCATTAGCAGAATGATAATTGTTTTCCCCTTTTCCCTGAACGTTTCTGTATCACTCCCAAGCTGTTCTGAAGGGGAACTTAATGAACTAGGTTAAATCTGGGGAAAAGGCAAAAAAATGCAGAAGGGAATCACTAAAATCATTTTTTTTTTCTTTTTCTGGTAATAGGAACTTCAAAAGCACTCTTGTCAACAGATGGATATAGACTGGTTACAACCCATTCAAAATTACGAGTTGCCTTTTGAGTGCTGAAAATTGTCATCAGACCACTATCTTTATTAACTGATATACTTTCTTGTCAATTGTTGTCTGAAGGATGGTCAATATTTGCAGACTCTCCAAATAAGTCATCTATTGAACATTAACTATGAATGTTAATGTTCAAAAAATGTATCATGTACATCTGCCGCAAAGTCATGCAAACTGAGCAGTAGAAAATAATCCTTTTGACATATAATGTATTTTAACAATAAATTAGTTTATCTCTTCTCTTTTAGGACATTGATGACATTAGTAGACATTATTTCTAGCTTATAGTATCATCGGGTAAAATAGGATTTATTTTCATATATAAAATTACCACATTTTAAAAAATGTAAAAGTTAACAGAGGATAGCATGTAGATACAGTGGTGGCATTATGGGAGTCATAATATAATTCATTCCCATTGAGAATATGAAAGATCATGTTCTGGTTTTACCACTTATATGTAAAAGGCCTTATATATGCACCAGTTGGATTAAGATCTCTGCCTGCCAATTTCTGTTACTCTTGGCTTGAGAGACCAGTATTGCGCCTTTTACCTTTTTTTTTTTTTTTTGCTCATCAAACTGCAGAAATCTGAAACTGATATTTTGTTTCGATGCTTCTGTGGGTGAATGATATTTAACAACAGATGGTGTGATGTGTACTTTGGCACCTCTTAATCTCATTAAGAAGCCAACATCCTGGCTCTTTTCCTCAGGAAGTATTATATTGGCACTGGAGTGTTATCGAATGCCAATGTCTACTAATACTGAAGAGTGGGATGAAATTGTACAATATGACTATAAAAAAATACCAAGGGATAGCTATTATTTTCTAATGGCTACAAAAGTCTTTTCTCAGATCAATTGCACAGAGTCTGCTCCACTTCTTCAATAAACAATCTAGTCATCTTGAGAGCTTTGGTTATAGCATAAGTGTTTTGATAAAAAGGAAAAAAATATGCATGTTTTTGCCTTCATCTTCTTCAGGTGGATTTTTCATTGTCCTCTCCCGTTTTCTGCACACGGGAATATTTTTTGCAGGAAGACTTGAAACAACCAGGAGGCCATGTTATTGGCCATGAGAAACTGCAAGGAACTGACCCTTGTACATTCTTCTCAAAGAAATTGAATATTGGATACCACCATGCTCGAGACAGAAAGTTAGTCTGTGATGATATTTTCAAGTTCTGTATTAAGAAAAAAAAATTACAATCATGTTTAGATTGCATTAAAAAACAGAGTTACAGCCAACAGAAATATTATTTTCCTTAAACTGAAAGCACTGTCACTGTATCATCTGTTTGGTTAGTGATTGCTTAACACAACAAATTACTGTAAATGTATTCTTTTCTCACCTACTATTAGAAATTGCATTTTTGTGTAAAACTTTAAGATCTAGCTTTAGTGAAAAGGGAATATTTATCCCTATTTGTATTGCTGCTTTCCTGTGAAGAGCTCAAATATTTGATGCTCGGCCTATATGAGCATCTCAGCTTTGTTGTGACTTGCTTAATTTCATATATGTGGCTCCTTATAATTACTTGATGCACTTTGGTTTATGGTTTAACATATACAGTACATATGGTTGAACACATTTTCCAATATATACATATATATATGAATGAAAAAGAGAGAGATAACGTTTCTTCTCACTTTTAATTAATTTATATTTGCATAACAAAATCTCATAGATTTGAAAAAAGTTATTTATAGTTGCCCGGAGTTAGGAGGAATCATTTCTTTATATTCTTTTTTCCTTTCTTTTCTCTCTCTCTTTGCATTTGTCTTTTTCTTTTGTCTATATTTTTTAGTTTGTATTCATCTTTTTATCTTTACATTTGTAAACTTTAATAAATTACAAAAAAAATGTCCAGCAGAAAATAGCACATAGCTAATTTCATTAAAATGTAGACCCAGTGAATTGATTTAAAAGATCTGTTTCTCTTTCAAAGATAATTCAGAAACCAATTAAAATTCTATATTCAAAAATCTAAGTAAAAAATTAAGTTCCCTTTGGAATCTAGTTTATACACACATATACACAAATACACAATGTGGAGCTGACTCAGTAGAAAGTGATGCAGTATAATCAAATGATGCAGTATAATCAAATTCTGACTGATGAAGCAAAGTATGTGTTAATCCATGCCTATTGACTCCTGCCAGAGGAGCAGTATGTACCAGCATGCTGCTTATATGTTTGCAAGCCAAATTTCAGCTAAATTTCATAGTACTCTCCAGCTAATTGTTAATAAGTCACACTGAATTACTCTTCTACATCAGAGATGAACAATTCAGTCTGCAAGAGTTCATTTCAAAATTCAGTTAAAAAATACTTTCCTTTTTAGTTTAGCGTGAGAAGAAGTAAGGGAGGTAAAAAGCAAGTGAATGAACGAGGACACATTTTAGAAGAATTAGAAAGAAAAAAAAAGTGTGAGGGGGAATGTGCTCATGAAAAATTGGCTCTGGTACCATTCCTTCCTTTTTTTTCCCCCAGTGCATTAGCCCTGAAGAAATTTAGCCTCCCGTGGTATAAGTCTAGTACATTCCTTCCTTAAATTTGAATTTGTCACAATTCTGATTATATCAGTATTCAACATAACAAGAGTATACATTAAAAAAAACAGAAATGCCCCATTGTCTATCTTAATTGAGAAATTTCATCTGTATGTCAGTTGCACAGATTCCTATTTATCAAGCTCAGCTCCTATGCGTTTTTCTTTTACAGATAGTCCTTGAACCCCAATTACAGTCATAAGTCATGACAGTTGTTTTTTTTATTGAAGAGTTTTATAAAAGTTACAATATAAACCCCTAAACCAACCCACCTTAAACCCCCCCTCTCCCTCCCCCCCTTCCCAGAGCTGAGTACAGGGTTACAATTATAATAATCATAATCTAACTATCATTAACCAATTATATAAATAACCAAGTCCATAATGCGCTTTAACTCCCTTAGCATAAATATAAAGAAATTAAAAGTAAACATAATACTAATAAAAACATAAACATAATATTCTAATTATTAAACTAGTTATTATCCAAATTGTTAAACAATACTAATACTAATACTAATAATATCATATAATTAAAACTAAAAATTCCACTATAATAAGCTATTAATAATAATAATATTCTAAAATTTACTCATAAACTAAGTGGAACTTTTTAGTCCCATATTTATTCTGATTATAATCTATCCATCTTCTCCAAACCGAAATGTATCTTTCTTGTGAATGATCCTTCAAGTAAGCAGAAATCTCAGCCATTTCTGCTGACACTTTAAGCGTCCATTCTTCTATAGTAGGCAAGCAATCCTGCTTCCAATATTGCCCTACCAATAACCTTGCTGCTGTTATCAAATTCAACATCAAATTAGTTTCTTTAGTATCACAATCTATAATAACACCCAATAAAAATAATTGTGGAGTAAACTTTATCTTTCTCTTGAAAATCTTTTGAATGTTCCACCAAATCTTAATCCAAAAAGCTTTTATATTTTTACAAGTCCACCGGATATGAAAATAAATAGCATCCAAACTACCACATCTCCAACAATCCCAACTAAGAACTAATCAAGTACTTTTAATCTTTCACAACAATATGAGTCCCTGCAAGCAAACAATGTCATTTTTATGTTGTTTCAAGTAGTAAAATACTTTCTTTCTTTTCTGTAATAAATTCAGGCCATTAACATAGTGGTCTGAAGCCTCTAAAACACTACTTGAAGATCAACCATTGATCTCTTCGGTTGTGCCCCTCCCACAGGCTCTATAGTAATCCAGAATTAGCCTTCTGCTTCTGCTGCTTTTCTTTACGTCTATACGCAGCACGAGTCATCCTCTGTTCCTTTAAATCAGTGGTTCTCAACCTTTTTAATGCCGCGACCCCAACCGGTCGTAAGTCGAGGACTACCCAACCAGTCATAAGTCAAGGACTTTCCCTGCCCGGGAGCGCCACGCATCCATAGTGCTGCCCCCTGCGCCGGCCGAGGCATAACTGGCAAATGGCAGAGATGGCGCAGGCCAACCACCGGCTGGGCCACCAGCTGGCCCAGCCCAAGGGAGGTAAGGCACCTGCCGGGCCCCACGCGTGCCAGCAACCCTCCCTACGCCTGCCGGCCTCCCACTTCCCACCCCTGGCCCTCTTTTACTTACATTTTTAGTAGTTGCTCAGCAGGGAGGGGTGGAAACTTCCAGACAGCTCGCCTTTGCTGCAGACAACTTGCAGCACTGTTTGCAGAATGGGACTTTTGGCGGGCTCAGCAGGGCAGAGACAGCCTGGACAATTCCTATTGGCTTTTGAAAGCCAATAGAATTAGACTCTATTGAAGAGAGTCTATTCTATTGGCTTTCAAAAGCCAATAGAATAAAAGGGAGTAGCACAGCTAAGGAAAAGGGGAAAAATGGCGGACTGCGTTGTTTGGCGACCCCCGTGAAATGGTCATTCGACCCCAAATGGGGTCCCGACCCACAGGTTGAGAACCACTGCTTTAAATCATCCTTTACCTCCAAACTCTGTTCAATAGGCTTAGCCTGCAATAAATCTCCTACACCTTCAATTGGTTGTTTATCTTCCAGCCTTTTTTCTATTCTCTTGGGTCATGAAGATGGTGGTGAACCTGCTTTCAGGACATAAGTATAAAAATCTTCTGCTTTGAAATTGTATTAAGTCTATATCGTGTCCCTGCATAATTCACCAGTATTCCAATAGGTATCTCCCATCTAAACTGGACCTGTCGATTTTTAAGCTCCTCAGACAGAAAGGCGAAGTCTTTTCTTTTTCTAAGAATTTTTGGAGGTATTTCTTTTAAGATTATAATATTTTGACCTGCAATTTGAAATCTCTGTTTGTAGAAAGCCTGAATAATTACATTTTGAAGTGATCTCCTGGAAAAATAAATAACCACATCTCTGGGTAAGTTTTTCTGCCTTGCCATCCATTAATTAACCCTAAATATTTTATCCATCTCTCTTGATAATTCCTCAGCTTCACATCCCAGAATAGGAGCTATAGCTTTTGCCACCTTCTCTTTCAGATTTTCTCTTGGGTCCTCCTTTAATCCTCTTATTCGCAATGAAAATTCCATATCTCTATATTGTGAGATGGTAGCTTCATCCTCTATTATATCAATCTTATTTCTGACTTTAACAACTCTGTTTCAAGTTTTTCAGTATTTTCCACAACTTCATCCACCCGATCATCCAAATGTTCAATATGTGTAGCTAACCGTTGAAGTGCAAGCAATATGTCTTCCCTCATTTCTCTATTTTTATTCTCAAGAAGGTCAGCCATCTCCTCCTTTATTTTACTGTCAAGGAGATCAGCCATCTCCTTTTTTTATTTCTTGTGTTGCTTGCTTTAAAACATCTTGAATATCTTTAAGCGTAAATGCAGGTAGTGGGGAAGAAGGTGGGGAGGATTTAAGTTTAGATTGCACTGCAGGCTGTGCTACAGAAGAAAGAATTGTACTTTTGGGAACAGCAGTAATTCCCAAATGCTTTGAAGCCATTTCCTGCCTGTATAAATCCATTTCTTATAAAAAAAGATAGACGCTATAAATACACAAACTTTGTTGCCAAATATATCTCTTCCTTGATACTGTCCTTTCAAACAAAAAACAACATTCCGGCGCCATTTTTCCTTTTAAGTCAAATTAAAATATGGAAGGGGCGTTGTCTTACCTGAACGCCTTTTCTCAGCATGAGGAACGTAGACTCCAAGGATGGGTTGATTTAGTCTTCTAGCCCAATCAGACCAAACAATCAAAGTTGCCACGCCTCTGCAGGGTCTGACCATGCCCCAGTTTCGAAAGGGCGAAGCGAATGATTGTGTGACGAGATGGCTCCGAACTGCTGACACTAACCTAGCTGCTAGTAATAATCAGGGAGGGGATGGAGTCTACATTCCTCATGCTGAGAAAAGGTGTTCAGGTAAGACAACGCCCCTTCTCCAGCATGTAGAGGAATGTAGATTCCAAGGATGGAACATACCAAAGCCCCTATGATCCCACGGGTGGGAAGCAGGTTGGTTAAGTGTCGTTGCTGAAATGGACCACTTGTTGTAAAACCCGACAGCCAAAAGCGGCCTCCGCGGAAGCAAACTTGTCGAGTTTGTAGTGGTGAATGAATGGTGAAGGGGACGACCACGTAGCCGCCTTACAGATGTCCTCTATGGACGCCTGAGT